CAGTGAACAGGTCCCAAATTTTAGAGTAATTCACATTTTAACAAGGCTTAAATCTTCCTCCAAAGAATCAGTCTCTAATGGTAGCATTTCAATAACACATAAGGTCCTTTGCCTAGCTGAGGCTCCCCTGTTGTGGTCCACTTCATAGATGGGCAGCCCCACTGCCCTCTCAGCCTCCACTGAAATCTGGCTGTGGCCAGAGGGAGGCTGTAGCCACAAGACTGAACCCATCACGGTCAAGAAGATGGCAGAGAAAACCTCAAATCATATTCAGATGATCTAGGGCTGCTTCACTTGAAGAGAGTAGAGCCATCTTATTTTATTAATAGAGAAGGGTCCAATAAGTAATTAGCAAAGAACTTGAGATTACTAACTCTCATTACCCCTACTTTAAGCAATTAGTCTGGGTTCTTTATCATATTGTAAACTACGCTTAAAAACTATTGTAAGATGGAGGTAATATGCTTGTTTATTTTAATTAAATTATTGAAAATCAGAAATGATATCATACTAGCCTTTCCTAGCAATATAGAGATTTCCCAGAACTTTTAGCTGCATATTTTTAGTAATTGCATTGTGCTAATCAACCGAAATGGCCCAGTATAAATGTTAATAAATAAACATAATCAAAATTACAATCCTAGACATATCCAGTTGCCAAGGAAGGACTTCAAGAAGTCATTGAATCCATCCCTCTACCTCCAGGCATGCTTTCCCTTCCAGTCAATTCTTGACAGAAATAATGTCAGAAAATACGTTCTGTGTTGGATCACTTTTTTCTATCTTTTATATATTTTTTCCAGATGCCTTCATCTAGAAAACAATGACAAAGTTATTTTAGAAAACATCAGAGAAGATTGAGATATTGCAAAATTTGTTTGAAGGGAGATTTAAATTATCAAATGAATCTTTTTTTATTCTAGAAATGAGGTCGTGCATGCATATGTTTTGCCTAATACATGCAAACCTACTAAATCGACACATTTTGAATATGATTTCAGTTCTTGATACCTGGGTTAGAGGATTTTATTTTTTATTTTGGTAACAACCAATTTTAATGAATGATTAATTGGATGTTTTTCACCTAGTTCCATGAGGAACTAAATATGTCTTGAGGCATTTAAAAGTTTTAGGATTTGATGGGTACAAAAAATGACTACAAAGAATGAATAAGACCTACTATTTGGTAGCACAACAGGGTGATTATAGTCAATAATAACTTAATTGTATCTTTTAAGATAACTTAAAGAGTGTAATTGGATTGTTTGCAACTCAAAGGATAAATGCTTGAGGGGATGGATAAACCATTCTCCATGATGTACTTATTTCACATTTCATGCTTGTATCAAAACATCTCAGGTACTCCATCAATATACACACACATCTACTATGTGCCCCCCAAAAATAAAAATTAAAAGAAATTTTAATATAAAGGTATTGTGATTTGAAAAGACATGTAGGCTGTAACAAATAAAACTCCTTTAAAAGCTTGTATATATGGATGTTCATAGGAGCATTATTTGTGATAGCTAAAAACTGAAGATAACCCAAACGTCCTTCAACAAGTGAATGCTTAAGCAAACTGTGGTACATTCATATCATGGAATACTAGTCAGCAACAAAAAGAAACAAGCTACTGATACATGCAACAACCTGGATGGACCTCAACGGCATTATGCTTGGTGAAAAGAGTCCATTTCAAGATGGTAAATACTTATATAATACTCTTGAAATATATAAAACTACTGAGATAGAGACCAGATTAGTCATTCCAAAGGACAGAAAGGGGGCAGCAGTCAGGGGCTGATTATAAAGAGGTAGCATGAGGGAGTTATTCTGTGGTGATTGAACAGTTCTATATGTTGATTGTCTTGGTAGCTACATGAATCTATGCATGAATTAAAATTGTATAGAACTTAAAAAATTAAAAACAAATATAAATGGATGGGTACATTGCTCAATACTGACCAAAAATTGCATAGAACCATATGCACACACACAAACATAAACACATAAATAAATGCATGTAAAATGGTGAAAACTGAATAAGTTCTGTAGTCTAGTTAACAACATTGTACCAATTTCAATGTCCTGGTTTTGATATTGTACCAGTTATATGAGAAGTCATCACTGGGGGAAATTGGGTGAAGGGCTTATGGGACACTATGCACAATTTTTGCAACTTCCTGTGTGTCTATAGTTTTTTCAAAATAGAAGGTTAGCAAAGGGAGGCAGATACCAAAAACAAACATTCTTTTTTATACTTTTGTTGAGATTTAGAGCTACTCTCTTTGGCTTAGGGAATGCGTTCCATTTACCCACTATGACTTCTTCCTTCAGCTTTAAAATTTGTTGGAAGGTCAGAAATGGTGCATCTGGAGCTCTTCTTATTCTGTCGTTGGAAACTTGGGCTGTTCACAATGGTACTGATTTTTCTTTTGAGGATATGGTAGGACTATACTTCCCTGACCCATTTGAAGTTGGGCATATTTACATAATTTGCTATGGCCAAGAAAATGTGAGCAGAATTGACATTAATCACTTCCAGAAGAAAGTTTTAAGAGCCAGTTCATGATTCTCTGAATTCCCTTAGTGATATGAGTGAACAGAGACACCCTTGTGACAACCAGTGTTGAAACAAATTACACGTGGAAAATAAACTGCTGTGTTACTGCAGAGATTTGGGAATTATTGTGGCAGACTTGCCTTTTCTGACACAAAAGTAAAGACATATTCATATAATCTCTCAAAAAGCAATTTGGCAAAGGATACTTATATCCTTTGACACAAAAATTCAACTTGTGGGAAAAGAAACATCATATAAAACTTCATGAACAAGATGGTCAACAAGGAATAATTCATAATAAAAAACAATAATACCACCAACAGCAAAACCACAAAAGTGGCACAGCATAGATGTTCAACAAAAAAGGATGTGTAAACAAAGTATAGTTCTGTGGAATCCACAGTGTCATGTAGTCATTAACATTATGTAAGAAAGTGCTTATAGCTTAATATTAAATTTAAAAATCAGGACACAAAATTATGTCTAGTGTAATTGTGTAAACATATGCATAAAATACTAAATTACTGCAAATGACAATGGAATGACAAGTGAAAGACTGGGAAATGATATTTGCAATATTTTAAAGAGTTTAATATTCAGGATTTGGGGTCTGTTGGGGGGAAATAGGGGAGGGACAGCAGGGGGTGGGGAGTTGGGGAGGGATGGCATGGGGAGAAATGTCAGATATAGGTGAAGGGGAGGAAGGCAGCAAATCACACTGCCATGTGTGTACCTATGTAACTATCTTGCATGTTCTTCAAATGTACCCCAAAACCTAAAATGCAATAAAAAAATATTCAGGATTTATAAAGAACTCATTAAAAGTAAGATAAACATCTAAAGTGAAAATGAAAATGGGCAAAGGTTGTGAGTAGGCAATTGCGGAAAAGGAAATCCAAAGAATAAGCATATGGAAAAGATGTTCCTCTTCACTGGGAATTAGATAAATTAAAATAAAAGTGAGATGTTTTGCAACAGATAATGAAAGAAGTTTAAAAGTCTTAAAATACTAAGGATTGTCAAGAGGGTGAGAGAAAACGGAAACTCTCATATGCTGCTGGTAACCTGAAAGAGGAAATTGGCAATAGCTGGTGCCTTGAAGATGTTCAGACCGCTCAACGTGACAATTTCATCTCTAGAACATACTCTATAGAAACTCTGACACCTGCACAAAAGGATGCTTAGGACAGCATTGTCTGGATTACAAAACATTGGAAACAACCTAAAAAACCAACGATCAAAGAATGAATACATGCTAATAATAAAATTGAATATTACCAACAGTCAAAATGAATAAACTTGATTTACATATATAAATATGAATGAATCTTGAAAACATTGTTGAATGAACAGGGCAAGTTGCAAAATGAAAGAGTGTAAATTTATATACATTTAAAAATACAGGAACTATAGTTGTAGGGATACAATCAAAACAAGACAGTAAGGATGCATATCAATTTAGATGAATGAGTGTCATTGAAGAGGGTGGGAGAAGTTGCTTCTACTGCAGGTGTTTTGTTTCTTTTAAAAAATGGCAAATTGTTAAAATCTGTTGAAGATGGCTGATGGAGTCATGGGAGTTTATTATATCATTCTTGGTATTTTCTTGATGCTTGAAATATTTCATTATGATGATGATAAAAATCTGGAAGGTAGTAAATTAGGTTTACAATGGTTGTCTCTTAAAATTATGGGCAAACTTTCTTCTTTGTTATGCTTCCCTGAAATTTCCAAAGTAGTCTGCATAAACATATTTATTTTATAATTAGAAAAAAATCTAAATTAGTCTACCCTCTATCTCATACAGTTTTAATAGAAAGGGAACTACTGTAATTATTTTCAGCTTAACTTCTTGGTAGCAGATAGGGTACAGAATTATGAAGAGTTGAAGGAGAGCTGTTCTCTCTCCTCTGCTTTAGATACAGAAAAGGAATTAACATAAAAGATGGAAATACCTATTTTCCTCTCTTTTAATATGACAAGTCCTTTATCCAGGCCCCAAATGTCTACTTAGAAACTGTCTTCCTCCTGACCCCCCATTCACCTTCACTACAGTGAATTCTGCGTTTTGCAACTAGAATCTCCCATCTCAGCTGTCTGGAAATTAGTCTTCATTTTATACCAACACTACACTTTTTTTTTTCTCAATTATTGATGGAGCTTTTAATGAAAGAGAGAGAAAGCATAGACTTGAGAGAGAGCACATACTCTTGCATGTGGAAGAAAAGATGTTGTAGAGGTGGTGAAGATGGGCCAGCGTTAAAACATGACGGGTGCAGCAAACCACCATGGCACGTGTATACCTATGCTACAAACCTGCACGTTCTGCACATATGTCCCAGGACTTAAAGTATAATATATAAAAAAAGAGAGAGAGATAAGCAGTCCTGACATTGGCCAACATGGAGCAATGTCTGCCTTTATCTGGAGTATTCATGGGAGAGTGTGAGTGCAGTCTCACACCAGGACATGTTCCACAGTGGAGTTTTCCACACTGGGGAAATTGCAGGGGCCAGCAAGTCCAGAGTGGGACGGAGAAGGCTTATCCTGGGAAAACCACCTTCTTGATGATATTTTTTCTGCCAAGTAAGTATACAATCTACACTTTTGCTACCTTACTCTTCAGTCTTGGGTACTGAGAGAGAATTCTATCACAGTGCCTGAGTAGAATGGTGTGGTGGTTAAGGATACCAAAGATGAAGTATGATTCTAAGCCTGTTCCACCACTAACTAGTTATGTAAGCTTGGGGAAATTACTTCCCATTGTAAGCTGAAGAGGTTTCACGTGTAAGATGGGATTGTGTTAGTCTTTCTGTTCATAACACAGAACAGAAAACACAGAAAACACAGAAAACCAAAATAAAACTGGCTTTTAAATATACATATGCCCTAGAATTTCTTTTTAAGTTCTGTGATGCAGAATGTGCAGGTTTGTTACATAGGTACACATGTGCCATGGTGATTTGCTGCATCTATCACCATGTCATCTAGGTTTTAAGCCTCACATGCATTAGGTATTTGTCCTAATGCTCTCCTTCCCCTTGCCCCCTAGCCCACGAAGGGCTCCGAAGTGTGATGTTCTCCTCCCTGTATTATCATTGTTCCAACCACTTATGAGTGAGAACAAACACTCCTCAAAAGACATTTATGTGGTCAATAAATATGTGAGAAAAAAAAACGCACTAGGATTTTTTAAGCCACCATAACTGTAAGGCAGAAGTAGGAAGCTGAAGGACCCATCTCAGATCTGGCCAGTTCGAGGTTGTCAAACTTTGGCATTGGGAACTGTTTCTCCATGAGTTTTGCTTCCCTCCATGTGGCCATGTTCTCAGTTAGGATGGTCCCAGGAAGTGGTAAGTTGGCCACAACAGCTGTGAGCTTCCATCCAAGCAGCTTCGGCAAATGCAGTGGAAAGAAGTGCTTCTTTGGCAATAGTCCCAGCAAAAGCCCTGTCATAGCTTTCCTTGCCTTTGACTGGTCCAGCCTTCATCCATCTCAACCTTAAACCAATTGCTGTGGCCAGGAAGATGCATATTTCCTTGACAAGGCTCATGGGTGCGCTTGCTCGTGCAGTTAGGAATGGAGCAATCCCACCGAACTAGACAGACATACGATTCTTGGAAAATTCTAGAGGAAATGGATACTGGGCAGGACCAAACACAAAACAAAACTAGTCTAGAGCTGTCTACTCCAGTGGATAACAACATCTGCCATCCCTGGGACAAGACCAACTCCTCTTCATCCTCTTTCTCCTCAGCGTACTCAACATGACAATGAGAAGGATGAAGATTCTACTTTTTTTCATGATAATTAAATTAAAATGTCAGGAGAACACTTGGCACAGTACCTGGCACATGGCAGGCATTCTGTTACACTGGCTAGTGCATGACCAAGTTAGTCTTTGTGGAATGAATGTTGAATGTTTGAAAAGCCTCAATAGTAACAATTCTAAGTGGATGCATTTCCCATTTTTTAGTGAAAAGGTTTAGAAGAGGGGTGGCAACTCACAAGCCAACTCCAATGAGGACTGTCTGGAGTGCTATGTTGAGAAGGATTCTGAGGCTAAGTTTCAACCCTTTAGAGACTGGTGCCATGCTCAATTAGGAATGCCTATAGACTCTCAAGTTTCATATTTACAATCTTCGTTCTAGAATAATACTGAGTATATACGGGTACGTAGAGAGCCCATCTGCTTAACTTTGGCCTCGGGAATTATTAAAATATAAAATTATGGCTGGGCAAAGTGGCTAATCCCAGCACTTTGGCAGGCCAAGGTGGGAGGACTGCTTGAGCCCAGGAGTTCCAAAGCAGCCTGGGCAACATAGTGAGACCCCATCTCTACAAACAATTAAAAAAATTAAAAATTAGCCAGATGCAGTGGCTCATGCCTGTAGTCCCAGCTACTTGGAAGGCTGAGGAAGGAGGATCACTTGAACGCAGAAGGCTGAGGCTGTAGTGAGCCATGATCATGCCACTGTACTCCAGCTTGGGCAATAGAGCAAGGCCCTGCCTCAAAAAAATTTAATTACATATAGCATTTCAATCCATATTAGAACTGCTAAGGAGGACCACATTATGTGTAGTTTGAGAAAGGAGAGGGCAAGCATGTATCTTATTTACTCTTGTAGATTCAGTGCCTAGCACGTAGTAGAAGCTCAGTCAATATTTTTTTTGCCTTGAACTGAAAATAATTATGTTATGCTGAAATTCTTCCCATGGAACCCAGGGGATATTGGTAAAATTAAACCATGTGAAACTTGAGTCGTGTTAAGGTTTTGTTCATAAGTTTCATGAATATTTGCATATATTTCATGGCATTTATATTAAATTCATTAATAAAATATTCCTCTGTTTGTGTGAACTCAATAAAGCATTTTACAATAACAATAAAAATGTCCTCCTGCCCTCTTATATATTTTCCAGTAATGTCACTGATTTCTTAGCTCTTTAAGACTTAATGAAATAACTGCAGGGTGGCAAGTTAGTGACAGCAAATTGTGGCCTGACCAGTCAGACATGGAAAAGGTGTGTGTGCCAGGGTCACACTGGCTACAGACAAAACTGCTCTTCTGACACCACTTCACATCTGAAATGATGCCACTTCACATGGTCAGGAAGTACATGTATTTCCACCACGCAGTGTGGGGAATGTATGTTAGAAATGACTGCATTACTAGGCAGTCATTTGTATGGCTCAGGTATGGCTAACAGGAGGAATCAAGAACACTGGATATAGGGGTTGCAGGAGAATAACACCCTTCATGGTATCCAGAACATGAGTTTCTTTTTTATTTTCATACTTTAAGTTCTGGGGTATATGTGCAGAATGTACGGGTTTGTTACATAGGTATGCACGTGCCATGATGGTTTGCTGCACCCATCAACCCGTCATCTACGTTAGGTATTTCTCTTAATGCTAATCTCCTCTAGCCCCCCATCCCCTGACAGGCCCTGGTGTGTGATGTTCCCCACCCTTTGTCCACGTGTTCTTATTGTTCAGCTCCCACTTATGATAACATGCAGTTTTTGGTTTTCTGTTCTCATATTAGTTTGCTGAGAATGGTGGTTTTCAGCTTCATCCATGTCTCTGCAAAGGGCATAAACTCGTCTTTTTTATGGCTGCATAGTATTCCATGGTGTATATGTGCCACATTTTTTAATCCAGTCTATCATTGATGGGCATTTGGGTTGGTTGCAAGTTTTGGCTATTGTGAACAGTGCCACAATAAACATACTTGTACATGTGTCTTTATAGTAGATTAATTTATAATCCTTTGTATATACACTCAGAAATGGGATTACTGGGTCAAATGGTATTTCTATAAGAACATGAGTTTCAAAGACAGACAGACGGACTTAAGTTCAAACTCCCGTTCCACTAAGAATGTTAGTATGTTACTTCGTCTAAGACTCAGTTTCTTCATCTGTAAAATGAATCTAAAAATAATGTTGACCTCATACATTATTTTGAAGGTAAGCAAGATATTAATCATAAAGTTCTTAACATATGGTAAGTGCTTCATAAATGGTAGCCCTTATTATTGTTGTTGTTTGAATTTTAAGTCCAGCTCACAGGACATTAGTTGGTAAAACCATAAGTTGAGGTAAAGCTTGAGATTTAATTAAATGTATGAACATACATGCACACACACATCTAACAGCATAATATGGTGGATTATCTACTGCTATATTTCATTGCTGTCACATTCTTTAACATCTCACACCAAGAACTTCTTGACGTTTTACCCCCATTAGTGCATGATATAAAAATAGTCCTTTTCATTCTCTTTGGAGTGCTTTTTGAAGATTTATTTTTTCTTGGATGTGCTTAGGAATCCCTTTACATGGCACTGGGTCAGGACTGGGCAAAAATTTTACCAGATAATAGTATTTTGTCGAAGGAGATAAAAACAGCTGGTGACACAACATAGGCTGCTTTATACAAACAATTTACTAAATCAGAGAGATGTCAATATAATTAACACATCCAAACCTGCTTTGTTCCCAGTTTTTCTCTCTTATATATTGAGTATATCATGACATAGCATAAAGAGAATTTGTGCTCCTATTACCTGACTGCTGAGGTCATAAACACCATGGTCAGAAGCTGACTTAAAGATCCCTAATTCTAATTTTTAAAAATTCAAGAGTCACTAATCATTATCATGATAATAAGTAACTTATTGAATAGCCACTAGGTATTGTAGTAGACTAAAATAATGGCCCCAAAGGTATCAGGTCTTAATCCCTGCAACCTGTGAATGTTAATTTATATGGAAGAAGCCTCTTTGCAGATGTGGTCAAGATCAGGCTCTTGGGATAGGGAAGTTATAGTAGATTATCCAGATGGGTCTAATGCAAGGATCCTTATAAAAGAGAGGTGTGAGGAGATTAAAAGAAGAGGAGAAGGCAACATGGTTGTAGAGGCAGAGATCAGAGTGATGCTACCACAAGAAGTTGGAATAGACAAGGAGCCAATGGAGTGCAGCCTTGCCAACACCTTGATGTTGATATTTGATAGCCCCAGTGATACTGATTTCAGATTGCTGGCCTCAGAAATTCTCAAAACTCTAATAAAATTAATTTCTGCCGGGCGCGGTGGCTCACGCCTGTAATCCCAGCACTTTGGGAGGCCGAGGCGGGTGGATCACGAGGTCAAGAGATCGAGACCATCCTGGTCAACATGGTGAAACCCCGTCTCTACTATAAATACAAAAAATTAGCTGGGCGTGGTGGTGCGTGCCTGTAATCCCAGCTACTCAGGAGGCTGAGGCAGGAGAATTGCCTGAACCCAGGAGGCGGAGGTTGCGGTGAGCCGAGATCGCGCCATTGCACTCCAGCCTGGGTAACATGAGTGAAACTCCATTTCAAAAAAAAAAAAAAATTAATTTCTGTTGTTTTAAGCCAATACATTTGTGGTAATTTGTTACAGCAACTACAAAACACTAATCAGTTTTGAGACAGAATCTCACTCTGTATCCCAGGCTGGGGTGCAATGGCATGATCTCTGCTCACTGCAACCTCTGCTTCCCCAGCTCAAATGATTCTCATGCCTCAGCCTTCTGAGCAGCTTGGATTATAGGTGTGCACCACC